TCAGCTTATGGTTCTGCTATGTGGTAAGTTTCATCTATATTATACATCTTCTACCTTACTACATTTAGTGATAGGAAACCTTACCCTGTATATCATCAACCTACTGAAGGTTGTACTAGCAAAATCTAAACTTGATGTGCTGCAATCAAAGTCAAAGTCTTTAGAATAGAATGTGCTCACTTTACAGTGCACTGCTTTAAGGAAGCCCATTCATTTTAAAGGGGTTGTCAAGGTCCAGGAATTTAGGTTCAACGGTCCTGCGCCTTTTTTCAATGCTGCACTCCACAACGGACAGATGAATCATATCTGTGTGTTATGGGACTCTAAAATACATTTGCACTGTGGTGCACTTTGTGTTGCGGTGCCATTTGTTTTCAGTGGTACCTCAATGCACCTACTATACAAAGTACAGTTAGCCATGCGTGGCAGTAAAGTGAACATTTTACCACATGGTACTGCAATATAAATATAGATAAACTCTAGTCTTTGGAGTATCTTCTACTGGGGCAGAGTTGCACCTACTTCTCAGCATGACTGGAAACCAGGTACGTGATGTTACCAGTTTATTGTCTCTGTATGCTTCAGAGGGAATTTATTTTATTAATTGAAAAGAAGTATACATGTATTGCCAGAAGCTAATATTACATGATATCCTTTATTTGAAATATGTTTTACAAAATTAAAATTGCAACAACGTTAAGTGTTATAACCAACAAACTTTTAGTCCCCCCCGCCTCCCCTTTTATTACTGACTGATTACTGATGTCCAAACTGCCAGAAGGAAAAACTCAAACTAGAACCACATTACAATACGCTATGAAGCAGAAGAAGAAAGTAGATTGTGTATGTCACATCTGGTTGAAATAATTTTAATTTTCAGAATCAAATCTCAATATATTTCAGGTACAGTTTTGTCGGTATTTTAGCTCACATGACTTCCTGCTAACGATACCTTCATAGGAGAGCCAGTCATTCATTAAAAAGAGAGAACATGTATAGCTGATAACGGAGAGCAATAAACTTACATTGAAATGCATAGCTACTGTGAATACAATGTTAAAGCCAGGGGCGGGCGGACTGACAACACATGGGGCCCCCGGGCAATACAAGATTATGGTTCCCCCTTGCGCTCCACCCATATACAAACCCCACCCCCAAGCCCCGCCTGCATAAACGTGAAGTGGCCATATCCTCCACCAGCGTGTTCTGTGCATGCGCATCACCATTTTCGAGTATATCTTAGTATACACCAAGATGGCTGCGCCCACATGTTCAGGTTCCGCCAAGATATACTCCAAAATGGCGGCACGCATGCACGAACACGCTGGCAGCCGATACGGCCGCCGCTCAATCTGCAATTTCTTTGTGCAGTTTCGGATTCGGAGGCTCATTCCCTTCGAGCCCAAAACAGCATTAAAATTAGTTTCCTTTGACAAAACAAATAATTTTTTTTTCTCATTTTCATTTGTTTCGTCTGAAGCCAATTTGTTTGCCCCGCACACGTCAATTCAAACCACACTAGACTAGTGTGTCAGACTAGGATAGTGACAGCGAACGTGTTTGAACCCGAGCGCCCAAACTGCGACGCAAAATCAATTTATTTATCTCAAAGTGCCAACATTGAAAATCACACACTCATTAACCACTTGCTGTAATGTCTTACATTTGCGCACACATGATAAAATCTGAATTTTTGGCTATAAAACACCCCCAAACAATATTTTTGTGAAAGCTGAGGCCCTGTAGAATAAAAAGTTGCTAGTTGCAATTTTTTATGTCGCACGATATTTGCGCAAACAAGTATTTTTTGGATAAAATACACTAAAATGAAATTTAGTGCACAGAAACAGAATATAATGCCCAATTTGTTGGTAAAATATAAAAGACGGGGTCACACCGGGCAAATAGAAACCAAACATGTCAAGCCTTAACATTGCGTGCGTCCGTGAAACCGCTAAAAACTACAATAACCAAAATTGGTCGTTGGTGACGCTTTAAATGCTTTTACGGTTCATGAGATTAGTGCTAACAGTGATTGATGGGCCTGCAATTATTGCTCTCACTCTGACGCTCGCTGCGATATGTAACGTGTGGGACAGTTTTTGTTTTTGCATGTAGGCGCATCCGACGCGTTTTTGCGTTGTATGTACATGGAGCGGCGGGCGACCTTAAAAACATTTTTTTTTTGCTTTTTTTTTTATGTCCATATGGTCAGTCCGCCCCTGATACCAACCAATATAATATACGGTATACCAACACCACGTATACAGTATAATATACAGTATACCAACACCACGTATACAGTATAATATACGGTATACCAACACCACGTATACAGTATAGTATACGGTATACCAGTACCACATATACAGTATAATATATGGTATACCAACACCACGTATACAGTATAATATACGGTATACCAGCACCACGTATACAGTATAATATACATTATAGCACCATTACATTTACATATTATCAAAAATACATAGTATCATACATAACTAAAAATTATATTTTTTTTTTACTGCCCCTTTAAGCAAAAGCCAGAATATTTAAATGATAAAAGACAAAAACAGACATTAAACTACATTTATAATAAAACAATTTACTTACAAAAGAAGCTATTCAGTCGTCTGCTTTGCCGTCCACTGCTCGCTTCCGCGGATTCTTTCCCCTCCTTTCTGTCTCTCCTCAGTGCGCAGGCTCTGTAAGCTCCTCATCCCTACCAAGAGGTCTGGCAAGGCAGGGACAGTGTGATCCTATACGCATGCGTGACTAGATTAAAGATGGCTGCTAGTCAAAATGATTTTTTTTTTTATGTGATTATGTGTGGCAGGCATACCACACATTGCAGCTGAGCAGAAGGGCCCATCAGCAAACTTATAATCACCTAGAAGTAGTGTAAAAATTAGTTCCCTGGCCCGACCTGTGGGAACTTCCAGGTTTAAAGATGTCCGCCGCCACGGCTGCACTCGCGTGGGGGCCATCTTAGTGACATTCATATGAGGCAGCCCGTGCAGATGAGCACAGAGCGGCGATTTCCAGAGTGGCAGCAGCCTGTAAAAAGTGCCTAGCCTGTTATGGGCACTTCCAGGTTTAAAGATGGCCGCCGCTGCAAACGGGCGGCGGCCATCTTGGTGACATTACTGTGGCAGGCCTGTGCGGAGGAGCACAGAGCTTGGAGAGTGGCAGCATCACCGATCAGGGAGGCAAAGCTGGCACCCAATAAAAGGTAACAGGAGCCTCTCACGGGGTCCCCTAGTGCCCGAATGGTCAGTCCGCCCCTGGTTAAAGCCCATCTCCAGCCCATTATAAAACCCTTTATATAGTATGTATCATAGGTAAACTTGTAGCTGAAATTAGGTATGTGATGCCTAAGGTCATGCAAACCCTGGATACTGTATATATAAGGGTTAAATATTGCTCTTTAAAAAACCTTATAGCAGCATTGCTAACTTACCCATATCAGCCATCACATGACCCTCCACAATGCTATATCCATAAGTGACAACCGGTGAACCAGTGCTGGAATCTGGCATGCTTCACTCAGGTCTTGTTGCCACCTCTCTTCGTGACTTCATCACACCTTCATCATTGAAGACCTGTGAGGACTCCATTGCTGGACAACGGGAAGAGCCAACGTCACGCATGTTGGGACCATTATATACCATTATATATAGATTATACATTTTTGTACTACTAGACAGAATTAGGAAAATGTGATATTCTATGTAAGGTTTTTATTGCCAGGTCCCTAAATCAATAAAAACCCTTCAGAGGTTCTAATGCTTCTCCATCCTATTCAAAACAAAAAAAGATTAACTTGTTTGGAGTTCTTCGATCTTGCACTGTAACAAAAAACGATGCTGAATACATTTTTTTTAGGTGCGCAGCCACATGAACAGTGTTGTGAATGAACGGAGTGATTGCGTAAAATTGATCTCACCACAATATTTTCCTAAAATGGAAATTCTCAAATTTGTTCATTGAGCTGCTAATGAGAGATTTGCTTTAATAAAACAATCTACTATACAAGTGGTTACCAACCTGAAACTTAGCCATTTTCCACCATTACAAAAATATTTCCATGTTAGTGGGGAGTCAGGGACCTAATTCTGTGGGTTTGGTCCGTGGAGTGAAAGGCTGTGGTAGGGCCAAATTAGGAACTAAACTATGTGCTTTTGTTCTGAGATCTGAGTACTGAGCTGCACCAGAAGCTGCTCGGCTCACCTCATCTTGGGGTTGCACTGGCCACCAGTCCATTAAAGTACGTACATCAGATTAGACCCACCCCATTCTGCAGCATCAATACCCTCCTCTCCACTCTCCATGAAGACCTTCCTGAACTGCAACCTACAGTTGAGCCACCAGACCCTACCTTTGCTTCATGTACATTCCATCATGGAGGCATGCCTAGCCCTCCAACCCACAGTGGTTCCAAAACCCCAGAGGAATCCAGTGTCACAAGCCACACCCCAACCAGGCCCCAAGATAACCCTGTACACACCATTGCATTATGGCATATCCCCAAGACAACCCCCCCAGCTCCTTTCTTCACCCCACTGACACCGGGACCATGGCATTTTTTCCTTCCACAGACAAAGCTGCATTTTTAGCTCCCATTCTACTTCCACTGTCAGTACAATTTGGTCACACCCGCTATACTGCACATGCTGCTATTAGCCCTACCCCTATTCTTACCCATGCCCATTGAGGAGCTTCATTTATGCAAATGGGCTGCCAAGGAGGACGTATGTGAAAAAAGTTGAGAACCACTTTAATAGTGGAATAAAAAAAAAAAGTATCCACAGCTTTTTGCCAGTTGTCAGGATAACCAAGGTCAAGAAAGCAGCCATACTTTATGAAAAAAACATCTGACCCATATTTGTCCATTCTGTTCTATGTTCCTTCCAGCAGCTACATGTTGTGGCCAGAGCACATGTGGATACTACGATGTAGCCGACTTTCTGGGAGTTCTGAATCAGTCTACTCGTCTTATGAATATCCGACCGGTCACAGATTGGAGAGAACCCACCCTGGTGTCTGTAGACATGACTTTCCGAGGGATTCTAGAAATGGTACAGTGCATGAGCTACTTGCATTAATGTTATCAATATGGAAGACTTTTTGTTACTTCAGGGTATCTATGGTCAAAAGCTAAAAGTAAATATGTATTTTTTTTTATACAAGTTTCGAAAGTTCTATCCCGATCCTTAAAACTATATCAACCTAGAGTTTGCAAATGTAATCATTGGAGATGCCAATAGGATGTAACAGACAGAAGACAAAAAGAAAGCAAAATAAATCCTAAATTTTGGTTTGTCATCAGAACAGGAATAGATGGCAAATCTTCCAATCGGCACACTAGTTCTGGTGATCCTATTGATCACCAGGGATTTCCTTCTCTTTGGAGGGATTACTTTCTGTTAAGGTTATCCAAGAGGAATAGGGGGGGGGGGAATCTTCCCAATGGGACATAGATGGCAAAAAAAAAAAAAAAAAAACAGCTGACAGGGGTTATAACCTTTCCGTATTCTATCCAAAACTGCAACAAAACGCACTCTCTTTAAGGAAAAGAGTAAAACATACACACAGCAAAAATGAAAAAAATAAAAATACTCTAACAATGTGAAATAAAGAACAGGCCTTATTCACATAGACGTACAGGTACCGATGCACGTCCTTGGACATAGACTGTCTGTGTCTAAGGGCATACATCTATACCTGGTCAGATGCGCAAGTTCAGGTCGGGGTGTAGCTCTGTGCAGCCGTGTCCTGTCATAGAGATGCACTAGCAGCTGCATGGAGCTACACGCACCACATGTCCCTCCCGAGGGCAGGTATCTGCATGGATGTGCATGCTGTATGGCTGTGCACATCCATGTGAATGAGGCCTTAGAAGAGCAAAAAAAATCATAAATACAAAAGGTGAAAATGTTTCATAAGATAGATGCAGTATAACCAGACAGTTTATGGCAAGTTGGGTTTCAGAGAACCAACAAGCCGTCCACTTAATCAGTGCAAAGTACAGCAGAGCATTTATAAAACCGGAGGTAACTGCATGTCTCACTTCATTCACAAATTTAAAAAAAAAAAGCTTGGTTCCTTTTTTTAGGATTATGGGAAGAGTCAAATCATTCCTTGTTGCCCCTGAGCATCTAGAGCTGCTGGCTTAAAACACAGATACTGTCTAATATTATAGAGCTATTTATTCCATACCGCATACAGCTGTTTTTAAATTGTTGCCATCAGTGCAGTGCAGTGGAAACCATGGCTTCTGTGGAGTAGGGTTGCAGACAAGAAAGTGGAACCAGGCAGGTTATAGAGACCTGGGTTAAAAGGAACCATAATGTGATGGCTTGCTGGCCATCATCAGTGCAGTGAATGGAAATTTTGGCTTCAGTGCAGTAGATCTAGGGCAGGGATGGCCAAACTGCGACCCTCCAGCTGTGGTGGAACTACGGATCCCATGAGGCTTTGCAAGATTCTCACAGACATGACTCCCGGAGAGAGATGCTTCATGGGATTTGTAGTTTCACCACAGCCGGAGGGCCGGAGTTTGGCCATCACTGATCTAGGGGATCAAAGAGGAAGTATAACCAGACAGGTCATGGTGAGTTGGGCCTAAAGGAACCAAAAAGCCCTTTCAGTCCTCATTGCCATATTGTTTGCATCCAGGGGTATCATAACCATATGAACCATGTAAAAACTCCTATACAAGGCAGTACAGTCTCTGACTTTAAGGTATTTTTCAGGATTGAAATATAGGCACTCTCACTGCTAACGTATTTTTGGGTGCATGCTCCGGAGCCATCATCCTTATCATTTCTTTTATACTCAATTGGTTATTGACTGGAAATCAAGGATGTTCTTACCAGGTTTTGGAATACCTGATGCAGTATACACATTCTCGTTCTGTTTGTGAAACAACAACATGACATCCCCAGAGCTTGCTGGCAGCACATGGATCCCAAAAAAATAAAATGTATCTTAACCCAAAAATATACATTTAATACATTGCAACTTACAAATCCGTAAATGTGGTGGCCGCAGCATTAGTTTCCTTTAACCTTATTTTCTCCTGGTGATAAAGCCAGTAACACATTTCCTGTCTTAGCATGGCTCCACTCTATGAAAAAGCCATAGAGCGCACCCTCGGACAGCAGCATTGTCACCCTCCGGAAAAAACATCAACCCATTAAAATCCCCTCAAAACACCTGGGGGAGAAATAGAGAATCAGCCTGTGCAAGATCCATTGTATCGTTGTATAATGATGAAATACTATGAATATTTTGAGAAGATTAAAATGGGTAAATGTTTTTATATTTAATTGACTGTTATGTCTTTTTCTGCCGCCACTCTTCTATTCCAGAGAATCACTGATGGCTACTAAGTGGAGACACATCTTGTCTTTCTGCACAGAGGCTATTGAGTATGTCAATAAAAAGAACTGTGAGATTGCGGGTTAGAGACCTTCCGAGACAAATCTAGAGAAAACAGATTTGTCTGCTATTTACAGACAGTTGTCAGTTACGACATAAGCAATCTGAGCACAGGGTGTAGCTAATTACTTAACAAATGTACCAACTTCCTCATATCCCATCTTACTGCAGGTAAAAGTAAAGTACTCTAGTCGGTTAGGTATCCTTAAAATGAACAATACAAAAATTCCCCAGCATATGACCTAGTCAGCACAAAAATACCTAACTAAACTGTTTCAACGTTTTAGGTTAAAAATTGAGATTTCAGATACAAATATTCTTTCTCCTAATGAAAGTTCAGCGAAGATCAAATTATATTTGTTGACAGGATCATTCTTGGGATCCTAATTTGCAAGAATTACTGGCGAAGGAGACCCAAGGCTCCTAATAGAAGACCTGGGGGCAAATGCAACACCCCTGTATCCATTCCATGCTGAGAACTCAGACAGTTGAAAGTGAGGGACCAAACTTTGGAAAGGTGCCTTGATGCCACATAGTGAGTGGAATTTATCAAAACGGGAGCAGACAAAACCTGGAGCAGCTGTGCATGGCAACCAATCAGTTTCTCTCTTTCATTTTCAAATCTTAACTAAACAAACTGGAGAGAAGCTGATTGGTTGCCCTGGGCAACCGCTCTAGATTTTTTTCTGTTCCAGTTTTGATAAATTCCCCTCTTTGTGTTTACATGCATCTTCAATCTGTCTCACAAAAAATTTTGTAACCTAAATGTTGAGACAGTTTATTTTGGTATTTGTGCTAACTAGCTAGAGAGTGCTTTGAGGAATTTCTAAATGGGTCAGTGTACTGCCCTGCCCTGCCCATGAATAGCTTTTCTGTGCTAGTTATACATTTATCTGAGTGCCATTTTTTGCTTTGGGTTACCTGCAATGAGTAGAGGCTGTTGTGCAGAACAAGGGAATTAGGTCAACAGTCAGTTGACATCACTGGAGTCAACAGGATCACTTTTGGCCTGTTTAGGATTAGTGCTTGGTTTCAAGAATTGAAATAAAAACTTGTAAAAAGTTAGATATTATACTCATCTTTCCCCCAGCTTCTGTAGTGCAGGGGGTGATGTCACCATCCTGCCAACGAGATCCTGGGGAAAGGTCAGCACTCCAAGTCCCTAAATCTCCTGAGAAGATGCCGCAGTCTAGGCACCACAGATGGAAGCTGGAGGAAAGGTAAGTTTAATAGCTAACCTTTTGTTTTACACAGGTGTCATTTGTAAGTATAATCAATGCTCAGAGCCGAAGCTAGCTCCTTTGGCTCCCGAGGCAAGAATAGAAAATGGTGCCCCCGACATAGGTTATTTTAAGGAAAGTAAAGGTTTTTTTAAAGGGGCTAATGGGACAGAGCACAGATCATGGGAAGACGGGGACAGAGCAGGGGGAATAAAAGGGATTTTTAAGGGGTGATGGGGACAGAGCAGGGGAGTAAAAGGGATTTTAAGGGGATGATCACTTGCAACAGTTTCTCTGCTCTACATTTAGCCCGGCTAGCACGAAGCAGAGCTCAATGTAGATAAAAAAAACGACCTGCCCGGCACCCAGAACTGCATGTCTCGGGCATCAGGCGATAGAAATTCTACACCTCTGCCCCGCATCAGGTTCAGCAGGTTCTGGTCTGGCCATGGCTTCGTCCCCTCACAGCTTTGCAAGAGGCAAGTGCCTCACTCGCCTCACCCTTCCTTTGGCCCTGGCAATGTTTCTGAAAGATGTTAAAGCCCCTTCCTGTCCATGCCACTTTTTAGTATTCAGCACTGCGGTACTTTGACTGACATTTATTCAGTCATGCAACGCTGTACTGAAATGAAATGTATATAATTTTGGGGGGAAATATACCACTTTCTTTTGGTGGTATTTAATCACCACTGTTTTTGTTTTGTTTTTTTTCTATATAAAGAAAAAAGTTTTATTATTACCCAATTTATTTGTAAAATATAAAAGATGGTGTCACGTCGGGTAAATAGACACCTAACATGTCAAGCCTTAAAATGCTTAAATTGCAGTCAGTTTCCTGCTCGTGTGCACCGCTCTGCTTTCGGCAAGTCGGCAGCTGTCGTCCATCGTGATTGATATGGCTCTACATTGCTGGACAAAGTGATTGATCAGTGGATTACATCGATGGACATTTTTTTTTTTTATAAAAGACTTTTCAAAAACCTTTTTTTTTTCTCATATTACGGACTTTTTTTTTATGGTGTTGTGTGTTTATTTACTATTTTACTGTATTTGGTGAATAGGTAGGGGTAACAACTACCCCTTACTTATTCACAAGGGTGGGTGGCATCTGTGTGGCACACAGATTCCTATAAGCCCCCCTGTCCGCAGACCCCCACAGCCACCAGGCCAGGGTTGTAGGGAAGAGGCCCCTGTCCTCATCAACATGGGGACAAGGTGCTTTGCCAGGGTCCTGGCAAAGTACCCTCCCCATGTCGAGGGCATGTGG